GGGTTCGGTTATATAACCTACCAGGGGTTCCTTACAGGGTTCTGTTATAGCCTTACAGGTTCTGGTTATATGAGCCTACAGGGTTCTGTTTATATAGCCTACAGGGTTCTGTTATATAGCCTACAGGGTTCTGTTATATAGCCTACAGGGTTCCTACAGGGTTTGTTATATAGCCTACAGGGGTTCTGTTATATAGCCTACAGGGTTCCTACAGGGTTCTGTTATATAGCACCTACAGGGTTCTGTTATATAGTCTACAGGGTTCTGTTATATAGCCTACAGGGTTCCTAGCAGGGTTTCTGTTATATCACCTACAGGGTTTCTGTTATATAGCCCTACAGGGTTCTGTTATATAGCCTACAGGGTTCTGTATATATAGCCTACAGGGTTCTGTTATATAGCCTACAGGTTCTGTAATATAGCCTACAGGGTTCTGGTATATCGCCTACAGGGTTCTGTTATATAGTCTACAGGGTTCTGTTATATAACCTACAGGGTTCCTACAGGGTTCTGTTATATAGCCTACAGGTTTGTTATATAGTTACAGGTTCTGTTATATAGCCTACAGGGTTCTGTTATATAGTCTACAGGGTTCTGTTATATAGCTACAGGGTTCTGTTATATAGCCTACAGGGTTCTGTTATATAACCTACAGGGTTCTGTTATATAACCTACAGGGTTCCTACAGGGTTCTTTATATAGCCTACAGGGTTCGTTTTATAGCCTACAGGGTTCTGTTATATAGCCACTACAGGGTTCCTACAGGGTTTGTGTTATATAGCCTACAGGGTTCTGTTATATAGCCTACAGGGTTCTGTTATATAACCTACAGGGTTCTGTATATAACCTACGGGTTCTGTTATATAACCTACAGGGTTCTGTTTTATAACCTACAGGGTTCTGTTATATAGCCTACAGGGTTCTTATATAGCCTACAGGGTTCTGTTATATAACCTACAGGGTTCTGTTATATAACCTACAGGGTTCTGTTATAAACCTACAGGGTTCCTACAGTGTTCTGTTATATAGCCTACAGGGTTCTGTTATATAGCCTACAGGGTTCTGTTATATAGCCTACAGGGTTCTGTATATAGCCTACAGGGTTCTGTTATATAGCCTACAGGGTTCTGTTAGATAGTCTACAGGTTCTGTTATATAAACCTACAGGGTTCCTACAGGGTTCTGTTATATAGCCTACAGGGTCTGTTTTATCGTCTACAGGGTTCTGTTATATAGCCTACAGGGTTCTGTTATATAGTCTACAGGGTTCTGTTATATAGCCTACAGGGTTTGTTATATAGCCTACAGGGTTCTGTATATAACCTACAGGGTTTCGTTATAGTAACCTACAGGGTTCCTACCAGGGTTCTGTTATATAGCCTACAGGGTTCGTTATATAGCCTACAGGGTTCTGTTATATAGCCTACAGGGTTCTGTTATATAGCCTACAGGGTTCCTACAGGGTTCTGTTATATAACCTACAGGGTTCTGTTATATAGCCTACAGGGTTCTGTTATATAGCCTACAGGGTTCTGTTATATAACCTACAGGGTTCTGTTATATAACCTACAGGGTTCTGTTTTATAACCTACAGGGTTCTGTTATATAGCCTACAGGGTTCTGTTATATAGCCTACAGGGTTCTGTTATATAACTACAGGGTTCTGTTATATAAACCTACAGGGTTCTGTTATAACCTACAGGGTTGTGTTATATAGCCTACAGGGTTCTGTTATATAGCCTACAGGGTTTGTTATATAGCCTACAGGGTTCTGTTATATAGTCTACAGGGTTCTGTTATATAACCTACAGGGTTTTGTTATATAACCTACAGGGTTCGGTTATATAACCTACAGGGTTGTTATATAGCCTACAGGGTTCTGTTATATAGCCTACAGGTTCTGTTATATAACCTACAGGGTTCTGTTATATAACCTACAGGGTTCTGTTTATAACCTACAGGGTTCTGTTATATAGCCTACAGGGTTCTGTTATATAGCCTACAGGGTTCTGTTTTATAACCTACAGGGTTCTGTTATATAACCTACAGGGTTCTGTTATATAACCTACAGGGTTCGTTATATAGCCTACAGGGTTCTGTTATATAGCCTACAGGGTTCGTTATATAACCTACAGGGTCTGTTATATAACCTACAGGGTTCTGTTATATAGCCTACAGGGTTCTGTTATATAGCTACAGGGTTCTGTTATATAACCTACAGGGTTCTGTTTTATAGCCTACAGGGTTCCTACAGGGTTCTGTTATATAACCTCAGGGTTCTGTTATATAGCCTACAGGGTTCTGTTATATAACCTACAGGGTTCTGTTATATAGCCTACAGGGTTCTGTTATATAGCCTACAGGGTTCTGTTATATAAAACCTACAGGGTTCTTTTTAATATAACCTACAGGGGTTCTGTATTCCTACGGGGTTTTTTCCGAAAGGGGTTCTGTTTTTTTAACCTACGGGGTTTTGGTTATTTTTTCCCCCTACAGGGTT